GGTGGGTGCCTGGCCGGAAACTGCAGGCGAACAGATGCTGACAGTCATGCGGGGAAGCGCCGCAGTCGGGTGCCTGTCGCGAATACTAGCAGGTGCGCACCTGTAGGCTGACCCAAATTTGGTCTGACTGATCACCTTCAAAACTCACTTACACAGGACTTCACTGTGACGACTGTCACGCCCACACACTTCGGACGCGGCCCCCTCGTGGATGGTCTTGCATTCGTCTGACTGGCAAATTCTTTTCACCTATTCTCCCTTACCTCTGTATAGAATATACTACTCTTTCCGTCTAGCGTCTCACTTCTTCTCTTTCTCTACGGAACCGGTTTGAAGATCACAGTGGCAAGTGCTTTACATATTAACTTAAACCACTGCGATACTATCACCACCATCAACATAATTATCCTCCTCCGCCAGAATTACGAAGTATCACTTCCCGGCAAGTGAAAGCATGCAAGCTTCTGTCAGTCTTCGATGTGACAAAACATATACAGCCTAACAGCATGTCAGTTTAGGGAGCCGCAAGGAATTCCGAGATGGAGCGTATGTAATGAAGTGGTGGGATGGGGGGGGGAAGTTAATCAACTGACCTCAAAAATTATGTCCTGATAGCCGTAGGCATGTGTTGCACCAAAGGGATTTTTAGGTGGTTTTGTTTCCCTGTGAATGACGACGGGCTCGGCGTCGATGGTGTCCGCCAGGTGGAGTTTTATTTCTGACCACTGAAAAGGTAGAAAACGCAGTTGATGAAAAAGGCTTATAAAACCCTCCGTTGATGGGGTCCAAGCTGACACATACCGCCTCTGTGGAATACTTCACGCAAAGGGCAAGGCATTTGTCTGTGCATATATGCACTGCTTTAACGCTCTTGCGTTTCTAGCCTGCTGTTTGAGCAGCCTCTCTATTTATGCACAAAAACAACGCTACTCGAATGGTAACAGTAGTACATTGTATCGGCATCCAATGCATTACCCACTGAAATTAGCGCCTTCGCCTCTGTTGAGGATAAAAAGTTCGTAATTTCACAACTTGTTTATCAGCCGGAGGATGTGCTGATGAGCCTGTAGCCTGCACCGGGACTCATGAAAGGCCGCGCAAAACACATTACTTAATTCGAGCTACATGGAAATTTCGTTGTGCTGCTGTGCCAGTAGGAATTATTAAGATGGACTTCACGAAGCTATCTACGTTCATAGAGCTTAGCATTTGAGATATTCCTCTGGAGGGGGGGGAAGCGGTGAAAAGCTGGGATTTTAGTTATCCCAGAGCACAGGATCAACCGAAACCTACCAAACATTAATTGGCATTAATAAATGAAAGAAAGACGTCACTTGGATAACGGTTTCAATGCCAAGAGACGTCAAAATGCCACGAGTATTACGTGGAAATATGCCGGCTCCCAACTATGGGTCTATTAATATGCGTGGAGATTCGCGGTCCAGATGTCTTATCGTTTTCATCATCCCCCAAAGACAGGCCAATAAGCACACTGATTTTCCAACAACGCCGCAAATGTCACACTAGTCCGTCAGCGGTCAATCGTGGAGAGGTCAACACTAATCAGCAGCGGATAGGCAGTTCAAAGTTCATGCTTCGAGGGCGGCTATAATACCAGGCAGGCGTCAAGGCTGAAACAGTCACGGCCAGCAGGAGGAACCATCACAGTACCCTGATGATGGAACCGCGAGTGTTTCCTAAACGTCGGTCTAAGTACATTTCGGTTCATGCTTTCGTCCCTTCTTCTCCGTCTTCTTCGGAAGGGGAAGATAAAAACCAGTCTATTCATGCACCCAAGAAGATTGAACATGAGACAAAGTTCTTATTTCAGCCGTATACAGCCAGGGAGTGATCTCATTAATTGTCCACCGAAATGCCGAAATTCGGTCCTTTCGATCTAGGAAGGATTACGTAAGTGGGATTTTAACAGCGACCACGTCGTGCGGCATGATCCCATAATACACCAGAATGCCGGCCGTCGGATGCAGGTCCTTTCGAGCGCCTGAAGGAAAGACACTGAGTAGAAATCGACTGGTTAAGTGGTGTACATTTTCCCCATCGATGTTAGATATTTTACAGGAATCATGTTCAAAAATATCCTTTCATGGAATTTCAATCAGCAAAGAATTGCGTCTTCCTAATAGTTATACTGTCAATCATCAGCCGCGAAGCTTTCCAAACTGTAGATGAAAGCAGGCTACTGGTATCAGAAAGAATGGTTACGAAGCACGTGAATCGGAATTACAGAATGAACCACATCGAAAAGGCATTCTCCACTCTGAGTTGAACTCTTTTACTAATGAGGCATGCGCTTACGTACTGCGGGTAGAAATATTATGTTAGGCGGAGATACGTTACCGGTAAAGACAAGGGTGACTGGAATGGCTACTTCTGGCTTATCAGCCGTCATCAGCCAACCATACACAATCCCAAGTGATCCACCACCCGCGGTTGGATGTGGCTGGCTGATGACGGCTAATAAGCCAGAAATAGTCACTCAAATCTTATTGATCTGTCGGCAATGTTCACCTGTCGGTGGGGCTCGAGAATGACCCCCAAGATAGAACAGGACGAGTGAGTCCTCTAACGGACCGGCAAGAGCTCACCAATCATGCATTAGGGTAATGTAACCTCTTCGCGACTTCTACCACACGGGTTCAACGCACCTCCAGAGCGTAGTCGGTTATTGGAGTTACTGTATCATGCAGGCTCTTGGAGCGCCTAGAAG